TTGATACATTAATTTAAAAAAAAATAAATTCATTTAAAACTACAATGATCAATTTTTATAATATAATAATAAATTAAAAATTTGACACAATATCCCGCAGCCAACAAGATTCCCATCCTCCCTAAATGCACGCTCTTATCCATTCTCAAGGGTTAACTGTATCTGCATTCGTATGAACTTCGTTTAATTCACCATAAGTTAAACGATCGTCTAATTGGTTTGTATATATATCAATTTAAACCATGAACTTCTTTTATTCTTTCTCGGCCTTATTGTGCTAGTCCACAATCGAGTACGCGTTTGAGATTGTAGAACTTTCATCATCGACGAATCTTTGAAAATCAGGATGCACTGATATCTTTCTTTAACTAGAATAGCTATCAAGCAACCATCCTCTGACGATACTTGTTATAAATTCTTTAGGAATAGATACTTCGCTGTTTTGGATATTTTTGATTAAAGATGACATTTTTTTTAAAAAAAAATTAGAATGACGCCACTTTTTTAATAATAACTAGAATGATGAGTGGCGATAACCACCTTTTAATACTTACTCTTCTCTATTATCTTTTGGTTCATTTCTTTTTTCTTGTTGCCTTGTAAAGACATTCTTATTTAATTATAATAAAGAGAATAAAGGAAAAAGGGATTTTGGTGATGATTAGCAAGGCGCATCGACAACATTTTATGGTACAGTCAAACCTCGATAAGCCGAACCACTATAAACTGATTTTTGCTTTATAATGATGCAAATTGGTAATAATTAATATAATTATCTTGTTAAACCGAATTTTAATATAATTTGATAAACCGAACTTAAAATTTATTATAAACTAATTTTTAAAATTCACCTTATTAATATTGATTATAATAATAATTGTAAATCATCCATCATCATAAACCGAATATTGAAACTATGTGAATCGAAATTTATAATTGAGATTTTGGGGCGGGGTGTTTGGATATGAAATTCTGATTGGCTGATTTGAATTTCACATACATGAATTACAAATTCACAGATTTCATTTTCACGCACAACAATTCCAAAAAGTTCAGCTTATCGAGGTTTGACAAACATTTGGAGACCATTACTATTATGAACATTTTGTCTTAAAAAAGTTTTTTTGTTATTGCAAAAATGCGCGGAGACTATGGGCAAAATGACTTATATTGTATGGTGCAAAAGGAAAATAAAACTTCTTGGTCTGTTTCAAAATTTTTTTTTATTCCTTTTTTATTAATTATTCTATATATGCCTTTTGTTTCTATAATTATTGTTGTTGTATATATATACACACACACATAACTGACAAGTGATTATTATTTGCCATAAAGACTTTAATAACAAATTCACACAAAAAAATGAATTGTGTATACTTAAATTATATGTTGATAAAATCACATATAAATCATTAAACTTATTATAACCACCAAACATGTCTGATTTTGATATCATATTATTCTTGGTAACAAAAAAAGACCATTACCCAAACCCTTTAATAACCGTTTTGGATATGATATGAAGTATGTTATGATATATCTCAACTATTATCATCCTATTTATTATGGTGAAAATCTTGAGAAACTCTTTGATACTGAAAAAAAATATGACAACTTGTCTATAGTAAAACGAGACGAAAAACTTATTCAATGGGCAGTACGAGTTAGAATCGATCTTCAAGATTTATTAAGCGAGAATAAACTTGGTATGTATCATAGATATTGCTTATTTGCTTCTTATCCTGGAGGTAGACTTGTAGGTTATGATGATTACCAAAATTACTACAGACCAAAACCGCTTAAGAATGGGACTGCTATCTGTTTCGGGTGTTGGAAGGTATTTCGTGCTGATGTGGATATAAAGCCTAAAAAAACGTTTGACCATGCTTATAAAAGATTTGCGGAAATGGTTGAACCTAAAGACCTGATGCAGGATCATTGGGATAACTACTGTTCTAGACCTAAAACCGATTTTGGACGTGCAAGGATTATTCAAAGAGCTTGGAGACAATTTCAAGAGAAAGAGCCATCGAATGCACGGCTTGCATGGAATAGCTTACCGAATGATAATACTCCAGATGATAAGAAATTTTTAGGTTTAACTCAACATAAAATAAAAAATCCTCAGACTCGAGAACAATTTGATCAGTGGCGTACGAAATCGATTGCAATGTATAAACAATGTAATTTAAATATTCCTTTGGATATTTATGTAAGAGAATATGAAGAATATTATATTCCATATAATTGGATAGATTCTAAAAAGAGTCAATTGCGGTCTAGATTCCAAAAGCGACTTTTAGAAATAGAAGCGTAAATATATTAATTATTATACACATCTATTTATTCGATTTGTTTGATTTAATAATTATATAACTTATATCTATTTAAAATAAACTTTATTTCGTTATCTTTCCTAAAGAAAAGCTGGTAACGATTTTTTACTTTGATTTTTTACATATCAACCTATTTCCATTCGACACAAAAATCCCCATATTAGAAATAATGATTGAATACACGGAGGAGTGCATTTTATCTGAAATATATATCTACCTCAATTTCAACACCGGCTGGATAC